GTGTCGGCTCATAAAACAACCCCCAAGTGTCCTGGAACTGCAATCGTTCAGACCAGGGTCTCTGAGGAACGGGCTCCAACGAGAAACCAGCACAGACGGAGAAGCAGAAATGCACCACCGCTTGGAAAGGACGCCACGCGGTTTAAAATCACCCTCATGAAAACGCCACAGCAAAATGTAGAAAAAAACAACATTGTAAATAAATCAGAATGAGATTTCAAAACATCAGCGCGTGGATGACAGTAAAGTCGTGCTCAGGGGGAACTTTTAACATGAACACGGGAGAAAGCAGACCGACGCACACGTCTCCCCTTCCACCTGAGACTCTAGAAAAACGGCAGCAAACAAACCACAGCCGCACAATGAGGAAGGGGGTGAGGGGAGGAACCAGGGAACGGGAGGAGCTAAGGGCTGACACCACCCTGAGGACATGCGCAGGGCCTGCCTGAGGCGCGTTCACTCACCTGCCACTTTCCTCCTTAAATAACGGCAGCAGGTGTGGGAGGCATCGGCTCCCGGAGGGGAGGCGTGGCGCCTGGACCCAATGGCACCTGGGGCCGGAGTGGTGCCTAGGACCGAGTGGCACCGGCTGGCAGAAGCGTGTGTTCTGGGTGCCGACGGCGGGTCAGACATTGTATGAAGACTCACTCACTTCCACAGACAAGCCCGGCGAGGTAGGCCCTGTGGCCTCCTGTGCAGGGGACAGCAGAGACCTGCAGACACTCCGAGGCCCTTGTCCACGGTCACATGACTCAGAAGCAGAGCCCACCTGTCAACCTTGACAGTGCCTTCCCATCAGCCATTGCTGCTTCGTGCTCCTGTTTGACACCTTCCTGCGCTACTGGAGCCAGTTCCACTTCTCCTCTTCCTGACTTGGTACGTCCATCTAGTACAGAAGGACTCCCACAGCCTGGAGATCGCCTTCCTGTGCCATTCCCCCTCGGCCTGTGCCTGAGAGAAGGAAATAGTATCTCTCTGCCTTTGATTAAATTATCAAAGCAGCAAGCACATGACAGTGTCTATTTGTCTGCCTGTCTGTCTATGTATGCATGTATCTATCCTCTATTCTCTGTCATCTATTATCTATCGATCATCTATTATCTACCATCTATTGTCTCTGTCCATCTATATTTGTTGAGTGAAGAAGGATATGTGCCTATTGGTCATTTATCTCAATGAAAGTTAAAAGAGCCAATGGACACAAGACACTGGGGGGTAGGGGAGGCCGGGGGAAGGTCAAGGTGGGGTGGAAAAAAAGGAGACATATGTACTACTCTTTGTAATATTTTAAGAAATAAAACAAAATTTTAAAAAGAGCTTTGGAAAAGAAATAAAATCATTTTTTATAAAAAGTGAAAGTTTTTTCTCAGTAATTAAAATAGTATGACAAAACATATTTAACAATCATTGCATTTTTTAATGTAACCATCAATGTTCTAAGTGATTTATGTATGTCTTCTGAACTAATGGGAAAAAATTAGTAAACAGTTTATATATCAAACTAGAGGCCTGGTACACAGATTCATGCACTGGTGGGATCCCTTAGCTGGCCTGTGGCCTCTCGCAATCTGGGACCCCTTGGGGGATGTCAGAGCCAGTTTCAGCCGGATCCCCACAGGCCAGGCCAAGGGACCCCATCAGTGCACAAATCCGTGCACCGGGCCTCTAGTCTGCATATAAGATCTTTGGTTAATCTCTTCCCACCCTCCCCCCTGCCCTCTTCCCCCTGAGATTCATCTGTTCCATGTTTCCATGCCTGGTGGTCATAGCTACTGATCGAATGGTCGAACAGTCGGACAGTTGGACGGTCGCTTAGGCTTTTATATATATAGATGATGTTCACCAACAAAAGACATATTTTACCCAGTCTTAATGATCAACTAGATTTGTTTACAATAAATCAATAACCTTCGTACCCTTTCCCACGAAGAACTCAAAATGCCATTTGAAAGATGAATTGCCCCAGATTTGACTTTTACTGTGAATCGGCAAACGTCTGAGATTCCCTCATAAGCAGCTCAGAGGCCTGAACGTCTGAGATTCCCTCGTAAGCAGCTCGGAGGGTCCGCTCCGCCTGCGTGGTGCCGACAGGGAACGTCCATTGTAACTGTCTTCGTCTTCCAAAGGGTCCAACCCAAGGTTAATAGAATCGCTCTGAAGAATGAGAGAGACTGTCCACTGCATTTTATTAAAAAACATGACCCCTTACAATTCAATTATACCCGTGCTCAGCAAAGAAGTTCAACTCAATTACACAGACTCATCAGAGTGCTGCGGAATAAGCCACTGGGCCTTCTAGGCCCGTGAAGGCATCATTCTGACTCGTCGGCTCAGCCTTACGATGACATGGGCAAACGCGTTGCTCCTCTCTCGTGTGATCCTAACCTTTTGGGATATCGGTCAGTCAAAGGTTGTGCAAGCTGTGTTACCTCACGGTGAGTGTTAATAATCCATGGATCAAAAATGAAGAAATATTCATTTTTACTTTCAGGTGCACTGAAGAGGGGTAGTCGGGGCCATAGTTAGTGGCATGCATTATCCTATCTTCTACGCTTCTTTTTCCCAATGTTTCTCCATGTCTCCAAGGCAATGCTATTCATTCACCATAGCAACCTCCTCCTTCATGCAAAGGTGACGCACTCTCCGCCGGCCCTGGGCCTGATTTACCTGCGTCCGCGTCGGCCACGGAAGTTCCACGGCACCTGTGTCAGCTCCGTGTTCATCCCCTCTACCAGCCGCACGTCTTAATCTGATTGAAAGGACTTTCCCTGCCTCTCCCCCAGCTGAACCCTAATCCTCACTGAGGATTCATTTAAGAGAAAACCTTTTGTTCCCCCAAGAAACTTCAGAGCTCATGTCTGCGCTCTCCCCTGGCTGGTGTGTGCCTCCCTCCGCTTAGTCAGGAAGCGTTGCTACGTGGAATCCATGCATCTCTGCCCTTGGAGTTCTCCGTGCCCCTCACTGACTCCATCACTGAAGGGCCAGGTTACTGAGTAGCTGGCCTGGCCACGTGCTCATCTCAGCTCTCACCAGCCGTCAGCAGATGGCCAGCACACAGTGGGGCTACAGAACCTCCCATGGATAAAGAAACAGTGTCTCCGTCACGGTTCCCAGCAGACTCTGCCTTGACCACGATGTGTGGGTCCCTTCAGGCTCCTGGCCTGAACGCCACGCCCTCTTTCCAGGAGTTAGACCTTAAGGCATCTGTCCTTGGGCTGGTTCCATTTGTTTGCTGGTAAAAGATCAGCTCCTTCAAGAATGATGTAGTCATCGTGTATCTAATATCTTCCATTTCAAAAGGGCTATGGAAGGAATAGTTTTTGACAAGGAATTATTATAATAAGGGAAAGTTATTCTCCCTTAAGATTTTTAGAAATTACAGTTTGTTCCAATTATGCTGTTATTGATTTCTACACGCCGTAATGAAAAACCATGCAAACGCATCACACATGAAACAATAAGGCTTCACGTCTATCTTGGGAAATTTATTTTATTATAAGTTTATCATAAAAACAACACTGCTTTGTTAGCTATAGCACTCGAAGCTCTCTTTGGAAAAGGAAAGTTTCTCTTTAAAAAACAAAACAAAAGAATTATTATTTAAAGGGAGCAATTTTCTCATCCTGGCCAGGAGCTCAGCTGGTTGGTGCATTGGCCCAGTACACCAAGGTTGCAGGTTCAATCCCTGGTCAGGGCACATACAAGAAGCACCCAATGAATGCATCAATAAGTGGAACAAATTGATCTCTCTCTCTCTCTCTCGCTCTCTCCCTTCCACTCTCTCTCTCTAAAATTAAAAAAAAATTAATAAAAAGGCCCGTTCCTGTACCACTCAGAATCTGTCACCTGGGTTTCAGGACACTCAGGGTTACGGCACAGGAGACCCGACAGCCAGTCCCCCTCACTGACCAGAGGTCAGTGTCCCTTTCCGTCCTCCTCCTCCTGCTCCCACCACATGGCCGGATCTGGGTGAGAGAGACTGGCCCTCCTCCTGCTCTCAGCACCCAGCCTGGGCAGGTGGCCTCCAGGGAGCCTGCCCTCACCCCACACCAGCTGGCGACCCCACACCCGACCTGGTGGCCACAGGCAGGTCGGCAGGAAGGAAGCCAGCATCGCCTGGGGATGCAGAGCTGAGCTGCATTTTCGATGAAACGGTACTTTCTTATCAACTTGATTGCACGTCTCAGTGGATGAGGAGATGGC